AGTTCATGTAGCACTGCAGCCTGATGCCCTCTGGTGTGCACTGAAGCACCAGCTCAGAGGCAGAGGCACCTGAACACACACACACACACACACACACACACACACACACACACACACACACACACACACACACACACACACACACACACACACACACACACACACACACACACACACACACACACACACACACACACACACACACACACACACACACACACACACACACACACACACACACACACACACACACAAGTCATGATTACACTATTTAATTACACTTAACATGTTTTACTCAAAATACAAACACCAGAAAAATCTTAGAATAAAATAGGAAACGATGAAACAATTATATATAAAATACTCTTTAGAATATGGTTTGTATTACAAGCACTTCTACCACCAAAACATATACTTTAAAAAAACAAAAGTAAACAAATATATAAATAACAAATTAAAAAAATCTCATTAAAAAAAGTGTAAATTCAACGGTCATCTATCCTGGGAGGAGCCATGTGCTAGCCATTAAACACACTTAAACACCTACAAATAGCCTTTCAAGAAGTAATCATAAAGTTCCTCGGGCCCCTCTCACCGTTTAAAGGTTTAGTACTTTTAGGTCAGACCTTCAGGCTGAATGACCGTACAGGAATTAGAGGTATTTACTGAAAACCCTGAGGCCATAAGAGCCCTTTATTGTAAATGTCTGGAATCATATTGGCATGGTTTGTACGGTGAAACACACTCCTCCTGTCACACACACTGTTTGTGAATCAGCTGATCAGACTCACCTGCATTCTGGGCGAGGGCGTTGATGATGTCGTCAAACACTGTAGATGAAAGAAGGACGCAAAACAAATGATGCTATACGTGTATATATATAATAACCAACACTCAAGTAAGTGACTGAGTTTGAACAATGAGACATACCTTGTCCTGAGATGTCGAAGGAGGATGAATCCTTTCCTCTGTCGTCACCGAGCACCGCCTTGTACACGCCCTGATCCTTCCTGGAGAACTGAAGATGACACAAAGCAGAAGAATATTAAAAACATTTTCACATTTAGGAACAAAACGCACAATTACTGAGAATTGTAAGATAAATAACACCTTGATCAATTGTCTTAAACGCTTACTAAGACAGCATTTGTTATCATGCATTCCCCATTAAGTGATTTAATACCCGGATAAAGTAAGTATCTCTCTATTGACCAGAGGGATGGATAAAGTAAGTATCTATCTATTGACCAGAGGGATGGATAAAGTAAGTATCTATTGACCAGAGGGATGGATAAAGCAAGTATCTATTGACCAGAGGGATGGATAAAGTAAGTATCTATTGACCAGAGAGATTGATAAAGTAAGTATCTATTGACCAGAGGGATGGATAAAGTAAGTATCTATTGACCAGAGGGATGGATAAAGTAAGTATCTATTGACCAGAGGGATGGATAAAGTAAGTATCTATTGACCAGAGGGATGGATAAAGTAAGTATCTATTGACCAGAGGGATGGATAAAGTAAGTATCTATTGACCAGAGGGATGGATAAAGTAAGTATCTATTGACCAGAGGGATGGGTAAAGTAAGTATCTATTGACCAGAGGGATGGATAAAGTAAGTATCTATTGACCAGAGGGATGGATAAAGTAAGTATCTATTGACCAGAGGGATGGATAAAGTAAGTATCTATTGACCAGAGGGATGGATAAAGTAAGTATCTATCTGTTTACCAGAGGGATGGCGAGAGCGCAGGCTCCAGACAGGACATTGGGAGGAGTTTCTGGAACAATCTCATCGTCCTCTTTGTACCAGTGGAAAGACGTCTCCTTCTTCACATTAGCCACCTGACAGGAAACACCAGCATTAGTTTCATAGAGAGAGAGGAGTGATGGGAAAGGTCAAAGAGTGAGAGTGTAAGTGTTACCTTGCAGGTGAGCAGAACAGTGCAGTCCTCAGTGACGCTGAAGGACAGATACTCAGAGAAGTGAGGACCTGAAAGGAGGAAGAGGAGTCAGGTACATTTGAGTCTTATCAGGAAAAGGACACCACATATTTAAGGCAATACAAGACTGTTCAAAGGAAATACATATCAGAACAAATCAATAAAGGCTCTCTGATAAAAGTATCATTGAAGAGACTTAATGACTCTATCGACCTGATTATGCATTTGAGTCTGAACTGAAATACACAGAGATGAGACCAGACTTAAGATGAATACTCAATTGGAAAACAGTAACTTGCCCTCTTGCCTGTGGCTTAATTTAACAGTTTGTTTAGCCCTCCTGCCTAGGAACAAACAATTGAGATTGAAAAACACTCCAGTCTTTGGAGGACACAACACCTTTGGATACGCAATAAACTCTGATTAGGAGTGAGTTAAAGCCCCGGCCACACAAGGACGATAACGTACCGCAATCGTTATCAAAAAAGTCTTCCGTCCTCACGCAACAGGCACCAGAAACGTGTCCGTTCACACGAGACCGCTCGAAAGCGCTGGAGACGCTGTAGTACATATGCCAGGCCTGTAAGTGGCGCTGTAGTCTGCCACAAAAGCAGCGAAGAAGATTTCCCTCGCATGGTTGCCATTCTGTTTATTCTCCGCTGTGGACGCTCTGGCTCTTTTTCTCCCTCCCCGAGGCAAGCGTTTGCTCCTGCTGTATATCTCTCCGGTAGTCCACCAGCAGATGAAAAACACCCACCTCTCCGCCTCTTCCAAGGGACGAGTTTCAGTTAGATTTTGTTTCGCCGGTCAACATGTCCGTTAAAGTTTAAATCTTCCAGACAAAATTAGAAAAGTGCCGGTCAAAGGTCTTCTTTGTTATTTATTGAGCTTTAAAACAAATGAATAACGACTCTATATAAGAATAAAAAACGGAGCCTCTCTTTTCCTCCCCCTCTTCTGAGAGCCCAGCAGCTGATCTCTGAGCAGGAGAGGCGGGGAGAGGCGGGGCTATTGCTTCAACGTTATCAGGAAATGATCGTATAGGCGTAAACACAGAGTCGTTTGCCCTCCCAGAGCGTTTCGTTTGCAGTTCTACCCACCTTGGGACCCGTTATCGTTATCGTTTTCTGCGTTTCCGTGTCGGCCTTGTGTGGGCGAACCAATCTATCTGATAGTGAACTGCAGCAGATACGACCGTTATCGTCCTCGTGTGGCCGGGGCTTAAGAAAATAGCTTTTGTTTGTGTCAGTGTGAAGTGCTTCCAGGTCTGAATGTGTGTTACCTTGCTTCCTGATGTGCTCCTTCCTCTGAAACTCGGCCTCCTTCAGAGCAGCTTTGAACACTGAAACACGAAAACATTCAAACATCATTAAACACGTTAAGTGATTAAATACGTAACAGACACTCAGGGTAAAATGACTTCACTTAAAATCGTACCTAACTTGTACTAAAGCAGGAAGTTCTCATAAGACAACAGTATGACCCTGTTATTCTAAAATGATATTATTTGATTATTCTTACATATGCAAGACTGTGTGAGCAGCATTTTTATGTTTTGCTGCAAACATTAAGATCATTTTAGCGTGCCAGAAGAAAAACGACTGTTATTCAAAAAAGATTTGGACACAAAAAAATTGACATTTGCTCCAAAAAAGTTAATAATTCCACATAAGATAAATCATATAGAAATTCCTCTCCGATATTGTCATGTACTAAACCATGACGCTTGTCTGAAACATTACTTTGTACCAGAGTACTTCAGCTAATATTCCTCAGTAATGTGAGGGTAGAGGATCCTCACCGTCTCCCACCAGCACCAGGGAGCTCTGGTTCTTGGCCTTTCCGTCGTGGATCTGAACGACGTACGTTCCCTCGTTGGCTCGAGTGAAATGATCCACCGTCATCTGGATCATTCCTGTGGCGACGTCGTGACTGATCTTAATTCCCTGAGAGGTTCAACAAAGAAAATATATTACAATACCCAAAGAATGATGTTCAACTGAACTTATTCATCAATGATATTTTGGTGTTGACACTTTAAAATGAGTGTTCTTGCACTGATGTACATTCCCAAAGATATTGAAGTGACTGTTGTTTTGTATATATTGATTGTTGTGTTTTTATCTTAATGTGTGCATATGTATAAATGTGTCTGTTGATTGTGTGTATATATAGGATATACATATTTCTATACATATTTGTATTCTGGGAAACGGATCTCTGTCTGTACACACAAACTGAAAGATTGACAATAAAGTTGACTTTGACTTTTGACTTGAACTAGTGCTAATAAAATGACCACTCAGTTTAAAACAACATATTATTTTGGAAGCTTAGTCGGTATTGTTGTTGAAGAAGTGCTTCACCTCTCCAGATTTGACCTCCTTGTCGTTAACGATGACTCTGTAGGACACGGAGGGCGACAGTTTGACGGCCTGCAGCGAGAAACGCACGTGACCCTTCTCCAAGATCTCGTAATCCAGACCGTGTTTCAGAGGAACGACTACACACACACACACACACACACACACACACACACACACACACACACACACACACACACACACACACACACACACACACACACACACACACACACACACACACACACACACACACACACACACACACACACACACACACACACACACACACACACACACACACACAAACACACACCACACACACACACACACACACACACACACACACACACACACACACACACACACACACACACACACACACACACACACACACACACACACACACACACACACACACACACACACACACACACACACACACACACACACACACACACACACACACACACACACACACACACACACACACACACACACAACATCCTTAGTGAATACTGCTCAATTAAAGGTCCCCTATTATACTGTTTTCATCAATAGATTATAGGTCTCAGATATATACAAAACATTACATTACATTACATTACATTGCATTTAGCTGACGCTTTTATCCAAAGCGACTTACAATAAGTGCGTTCGACCAATAAAATACAAACTTGAAGAAAACAGAATCATATAAGTACATCAGGTTTCATAGAGCAAAAACATTTATCTGAAGTGTTCAAAACACCAAACAGATCATTGCAGGATTACCCATAATCCCCTCTGTTTCAGCCCTGTTTCCAAAGTGCTGGTTCTCTGTCTGTTACTTTAGATGAAAATAAGGAGCCCCTCCCCACGCCCCTCTGAGAGACATTTGGTTACAAAGAACTCAATGGTGCTCTAGGAGGAGATTCAGGTGATAAGGGGGGGGGGGGGTTACCTTGGTTGCTGATTGGCTAATGGTTACACAAGACAAAACATCGTTATGACATCATAAAGTGGCCAAAATCTGATCAGCTCATTTTCAGACAGGTTTTTATAGAAATGGATCAAAAAGAGAGAAAATCTTTGTTCCTGAAACTTTCAGAGTCATGTTGATGTAGAAGAGACATGAAGAAGAGGGGACACATGTTGATGTAGAAGAGACATGAAGAAGAGGGGACACATGTTGATGAAGAAGAGACATGAAGAAGAGGGGACACATGTTGATGTAGAAGAGACATGAAGAAGAGGGGACACATGTTGATGTAGAAGAGACATGAAGAAGAGGGGACACATGTTGATGAAGAAGAGACATGAAGAAGAGGGGACACATGTTGATGTAGAAGAGACATGAAGAAGAGGGGACACATGTTGATGTAGAAAAGACATGAACAAGTGGATTTTGCACAATAGACTAACCTTTAAGTTATAATGTATACATACAATCTTCTACGTTGAAACATGTAATGCAATCAGAACTCACTTGGATGTCTGATGGCATAGCTGAGCTCCAGCATGGTGTTCAGAGCTGTAGCACGGAGAAAGGACAACAAATATTAGTTCAAAACAACAAAACAATAATACATCTTAAGAAGGGAAAGTGCAAACAAGACCCACCGTCCTCAGTCAGAGTGTGGCTGGAAGAGACTCCATCTGTGTCGGTGACGACCACAGAGTATCTGCCCAGATCATCTTTGTCCGGGTTGGAGAAAGTCAGCCTGGAGCTGAAAAACAGAAAACAAGCCTCTATTAAATATCCAGTGAAGTCAACACAGTTATAGCGTCAACTGTACAGCAACACTGGAGAGAAATCACTACTGTGAAACATCACTGAAGAGGAAATGGTGTCTCCTCTCTCCTATTCCCTTCTTCACTGAGACCAGAGACACACACTTCTTGCACTATATGTAGTTTATTTGTATTTACTTGCACATCTCAAAACATTCTCTTGCACTATTTTATCAGTGTTACTGTTCTATGTCCTATACAGAGGTGGGAAGTAGTGGAGTACAAATACTTTGTTACTGTACTTACTGTAAGTACATGTTTCTGGTATCAGTACTTTACTCCACTACTTATCTTTCTGATGACTTTTTACTTTGACTTCTTACATGTTGAACACAAATACCTGTACTTTCTACTTCATACATGTTGAACACTAATACCTGTACTTTTTACTTCTTACATGTTGAACCCAAATACCTGTACTTTCTACTTCTTACATGTTGAACCCAAATACCTGTACTTTCTACTTCTTACATGTTGAACTCAAATACCTGTACTTTCTACTTCTTACATGTTGAACACAAATACCTGTACTTTCTACTTCTTACATGTTGAACTCAAATACCTGTACTTTCTACTTCTTACATGTTGAACTCAAATACCTGTACTTTCTACTTCTTACATGTTGAACACAAATACCTGTACTTTCTACTTCTTACATGTTGAACACAAATACCTGTACTTTCTACTTCTTACATGTTGAACACAAATACCTGTACTTTCTACTTCTTACATGTTGAACTCAAATACCTGTACTTTCTACTTCTTACATGTTGAACTCAAATACCTGAACTTTCTACTTCTTACATGTTGAACCCAAATACCTGTACTTTCTACTTCTTACATGTTGAACACAAATACCTGTACTTTCTACTTCTTACATGTTGAACACAAATACCTGTACTTTCTACTTCTTACATGTTGAACACAAATACCTGTACTTTCTACTTCTTACATGTTGAACACAAATACCTGTACTTTCTACTTCTTACATGTTGAACTCAAATACCTGAACTTTCTACTTCTTACATGTTGAACTCAAATACCTGTACTTTCTACTTCTTACATGTTGAACTCAAATACCTGTACTTTCTACTTCTTTCATGTTGAACTCAAATACCTGTACTTTCTACTTCTTACATGTTGAACTCAAATACCTGTACTTTCTACTTCTTACATGTTGAACTCAAATACTTGTACTTTCTACTTCTCTCATTTTCCAAACAGCTGGTTCCTTTAGTCTGAATGTGTGTTTGGTGCGTGATCATTATTCTTTAGAGTCATTGCGTGCCTATTGATTTGAACACGATCCGTGTATCCATCATTTCCTGGTCTTCTCTAAAGAAGAGGGACCAATGGAAACGTTGTCATGTTGCCGTTGTTCAGCATGGAAACATTCATTAGCTAACAATGACATTATTGTTCTATTAATATAAAGGGAGGTCAGGTACTCTTTAAAACAGCTGCTAGTTATGGGTACTTTTTACTGAAGTACATTTCAAAGTTCTTTACTTTTACTTGAGTAAAGAAGTTTAGTCAGTACTTCTACTTTCACCAGAGTATTTTTAAACACGAGTATCTGTACTTCTACTTGAGTAAAGGATGTGTGTACTTTTGTCATCTCTGGTCCTATATATATTCATGTTGCATTGCAGGAGAAGCCTCTGTGTTTGTGTTGAGTAATCGCAGCTAACTCACGTTCTGCCCTTGTTGGAGATGGCGACTCTGGGACAGTCTCCGATGGCTTTGTAGTTCTTGGACCAGACGAACTTGGAGGTCTCTGAGATCTCGCAGGCCTCCAGAGACAGGAACACGTCTCCGGTCTCCTCGTCCACGCTGGCCACGATCTCCTGAGTGCCTGTCAACACACATCACATCTTAAAAACTACCTAAATATAACACTCAGGGCCACATTCAGCAAACATGTATTGTGAGGTAAGTTGGGTATTTCTTTGCACCTCAGCTAGTTGAGCCAAGCTACAGCTGTTTCAAACTGTTCTACTTAGAAATTCAATATATGGAAATTAAGTTGTGCAAACAAGACGACCAATTCATCAACAAGTTCTATCAAAGTTAGACGGCCATAAATAGAAAATAGAAAGAAATAGGCAGTGATTTCAAATCCAAAGTCTTTTCACTTTATTCCTAGGACATATTTAAATTGCTCGCTTAAAGGTAGGGTAGGTAAGAATGGAGAAACCAGCTCGAGTGCGCTAGAATAAATCTGCCCCTTCCTTCAGACTTCCTCACAGAGCCCCTCCTCCAACACACACGAACGCGCACATGACCAATGAGGGCACGAGATAAGTTTGTGCACAGATGGAAGGCTGACAGGCAGGTAGGCCATCCAGTTACTTTAGCCGGGCCGGCTCAGATGATTGGTCGTGCTTTTTACAGCGCCACGGCTTCCACTGATGATATTTTTTAATGTATTTATTGTCAAAGCATTTCATATATTCATTGCTATCGGGATGTTAAGAGCATTCCATGGAATATAACAAGTGTTTATGAAGTGAATTACCTACCCCACCTTTAAGCTACGACGTTTGATTTAGTAAATTAGCTTTAACTTGAAGTCCAATTATTTATTTTTTCAACATAATCAATTAAGTTGACTTGACAAAGTGTGCAATTCATTCTAATTAACAGCATTTATTCATTTAATTTACATGTATATGGGCATGTAGTGACCACTCATTAATACACTGGGGTTCATAATTCACACATGGAACACATTGGGGTTTTGTTTCCACACGGACATGTTAGGTGTTGTCTATATATGTTGTGTGCCCTCCTGGCTTCGCTCTCTTCTTCCCGGACTGCAACCGGACAACATGACCTTTGCTGCTCTCTAATAAAGTATCCTTTTGCACCTTCCTTGCACCGCCTCTGACTCCCTATCTCACGGCACTACAGGCATTTATTTGGAGGGATGTCAGTCCAAAACGGCTGTTTCTGAATATTTTAATACATTTCTCTCCAATGTTTGAAATGTGTTTGCTTCCAAATGAATAATTTCTGTATTTGAAGTTTCTATTAAAACATTTTTAATTCTACTATTTCACATTTAGTTCAGACAATTTATTTATCCGACAAACAAACACAATTAGTAGAAGCGGGAGGGCAGAAAGCATAGCTTATACAAAATAGCCCTCCATATGTAAGACATTTAACATCATTGTTATATCATCAATATCAATCAGCAGCTACATTCATATCTGATATAACCTCATGTATCAGGATGAGCTGGAATAATGTAAGACTAAAAACATCAGAGACCTACTCCCCTCACATGTCAGCAGGCAGTGAGTGTTGTTTGGTATTGTTTACCTGGCAGAGCTTTGGCACAGACGGGCTCAGAAAGCTGGGAAGGTTTCCCGACTCCGTTAGCGTTCACCGAGCGAACTCTGAACACGTAGGTTTCTCCTTCCTGCAGACCGCTCACCTGCAGGGCCAGAGAGACGAGATGCAAGGGTTTAATGTCATATGCACATAAGACATTATAAAACATGAAGATGATGGCTGCCGTGTCTTTTGCTCCTCTCCGACCTTTTTTCCGCTTTATTTCAGCGTTTGTTTACTTCTCGTTGTGTGCTTTTAACTTTGTCCGCAACATGAGCACTACTTTTTACGTTTGTATTTTATTCTATATATCCTGTTAAGCCCGAGAGACCCTGGTACCGGGGCCCTCCCGCAACATCTTGCAGGAAACAGTGTCTGAGGGCATGTTCATTTAATAAACTATGAATGTTTTATATCCATGTAACGGGAAGAAACTCATCTAACTGATCATTTTAATTTTTCTTTTTTTTAAAACCCCACAATGCTAACGCTGAGCCTCTGAATTAGCAACGAGCGAAAAATGCTAACAGACTACTGCACAGCAATTCACTCACAAAAACCTTATTATTTATCCATTCTGCACATCCAACCCATCGATCTGATCGTGAGGTGACACAGAATCGATGGGTACCCTCATTATCACTCAATCATACGAACTCGCGACTTTATAAACAAAAACAGACATCAAAACATGTGGCGCTAGGTAGCTAAAAACGCTAACATGGTTTACCTGTGTCTGGTCAAAAGTGGTCTTCAATGGCATTAAAACGATAAAACCGCTGCTGAAGTTAATCCATAGGTTAATCCAATGTGTCTGTGTCTCTTTGAAATGATTTCTGATAATCCATAAGTAATAAACCTGCTTTTCAGTTTCCAGATGTCAGAGCTAGAGATAGGTTCGCTCTGATGCAAACCTGCATGCGCAAAGCCCCCACCTTTTTTTTTTACCATGTGTGTGTATGGGGAAATTCCCCTTCAATTATATTGGCTCTAACGTTCAAAAAGAGATGTCAATCACCAAAATCGACCAATGGGTTCCAGAGAAACGGTAAAAACGCCCATTTCCACCCAAATCACCCCAGAGTTGGGTTGCATTCCAATAGTCCATTTAGCTTAGGAACCTTCCTAACGGAGTGAAATGACCCGGAAGTACGTCAGTGGCAGCCATGTTAAGTGCCGTTCCAATTCTCCAAATGAAAGGAAAGGAGGTTTCAAACTTCCTTTATAACCTCCTTTAGCTTAGGAACCACTGGACCTCCCTAACCGAAAGGAGAGGAGAAAATGCTGCCCCACAATGCATTGCAGCCGCAGCATTTGCCATCACAACAGTCGGCCGTTCACGGAAACAACCGATTATGACCGAGAAATGATATCATGAAAGTTACGGTGCTTATTAAGCATTTTAAAACGTATGTGGTAAGTTGCCAAAGTGCTTTGTTCTGAACGTTCATCAGTATTATAATCAAAAAGAGAAATATGAACGTTAGTTTTTACTGAAATGATCAAATAAAGTCAACATCTCACAGTCTTTACTGAGCTGTGTGGGGTTTGTTCAACTTTTAAAAGATGTTTGAATGGTGATATACACACAGTGATAGATGTTAAGGACTAACGTTTATAATAAATACATTTGTATTGATTTTAAGATATTTTCATAGTTCATACAATCATACGTATTGGGATCATTTGTATTAATGTGGACCGGAGGGAGAGGGTGACGAGCATAAGTTTCACTTTTTTATTTCAATTCCAACTTTGGTCATGAAGAATATGTTTCTCTGTTGTCCCCGTTCATAAAGCAAAGCAACAGCATCAGAGCACGGTGCAGAGTCTCTAGATGAGTCCCTCGTTCTTATTAAACATCCATGTTGTAGTCCGCTGTATAGAAAACTGTAGTTTCCATGGTTACCCCACAGCAGCAGACGCACATTCATGACGTCCGCTGGCGCATCATAAACACGTCGGATAGTGAAAGTGCACTCGGATTCTCTAAAGTACCTCAGTCTCTTCTCCTAAGTCCTTTTGAATTCTCCTATCCACTATTCCTTAACCCCGTGACGTTTCACTCAGAGGTCAAGGAATAGGAGATAGGGTTAGAATTTAGGAGCTGATTTTTGGATTATCGGAACGCAACCCTGGAGTTTTGCTAAACCTCTCTAAAAAGGTCAAATGTCACTTGTTTTGCATCAATCTTGATACAGGGTACTTATTATATGTTGTACTTTGGATTGCTAAAGCTTTTAGTCTACCTTACCATCATCCAAGGTTAGTTTTCACTATAAGTAAACAATTATTTTTGGACGGACACTATAATTTATAGTTTTTTACTATGTTCAATATGAATTTTCTTTAAAATAAAAAACATCTATATTGATTCTGACTTTTCTACATCCAACTCACAGGTTTATCATTACTTTGAGAAAAAAGATTATTAATTTAACCCTTTTAGAAGGGAAGATATGGTCCTTTGTTCTGGGAATGTCATTTTCGAGCCTGAGACCTGAAAGACAGGCTCAGGGCTCAACAGGATATGTTGCATTGTTGGAGGAGCTCAGGTCATAAGATTTTCATTGCCATTTCTACACTCTAGCTTTTGTGCATATGACAATAAAACCTTTGAATCTTGAATCATGAAGCTACAGTGTATACATGGCAATGAAATTATTCTGTCCCGAGCTCCTCCAAGGATGCAACATAGTTATATAATAAAGCAGGAAAAAAAAAGTATTGTGCAAGAAGTCTCACGTAAATAGAATAGAAACACAGTGTGACACCACACCAAAACCTCAACTGAAATACTCTGTATGGTTAACTATATGTTTATATTATTTTTTATTACATTTTTTCATTGTATTTAATTGTACCTTTTTGTTAAAATTATTATTACATTTTAATTGTATTTATTTAATTTGAGTTTTTTTGTATTATTGCTTTTTTTTAATAAATAGATTTGTTTGTTATTTTTCTTTTAAATAGAGTATTAACAACTAGTATTCAGATTATGATAACACTAATGTATTAATTCAGGGTTTCCATTAACTGCAAACTGTTAGAGCCTTTGATTCAACTTGTGTTTCTTTTTTCTATTACGCCTCTTGCAGCACTTTGGGATGACTTTTAGCAATGAAAGGTGCTTTACAAATAACATGTATTATTATTAATAAAGGTCAACATGACCTCAGGTGTTTCCTACCTGCAGGTACCGGTGGCTCACAGCTTCCTCGTTCAGAGTCACAAACTCTGAGGATCCCTTCTTGGCCATCTCCACCAGATACCCAGACACAGCGCTGGCCCCGATGTACACCGGAGCTTTCCACAGGACGACCAGGGACTGACCTCTGACCTCACTGAAGCTCAGGTCGTACGCCGGGCCTGGAGGGCAAGTACACATGATGATAACAATGTCATTAAACACTATGAGAATTAGAAATAAAGTTCATATGATATATAGCCATCTGAAGGTAAATTATAAATAATTATAACAAAGTAATTAAACTCCAAATGGAAGGAATATGGAATGCAAGAAATAAAGTTAATATCTTTGTCAACAGATGGGGAAAAATATGTTGGGTGTGAAGCTCAATCTAGTTCAAACCTACAGTATATAACAGATTTAACTGGCAGTAATTCACATACTCATCTACAGTACCGCAATACTACCTGGTACAAGTGTTTGTCAACTGCTTTAAAATCAAAACGGCTCCACCTGTTAAACATCTGCTCAAAGATTGTTGGTCACCCTGTCAGAGACTTTAAGACTCAGCCAACCATAATAACCTGAGAGGCTGTCTGTCATGCTCTGACCAGAGAATATGAACTGCTACCCTCTAATGGAGATCACTAAAGTCAGACTGAAGCATCCTTTCAATCCTATCAGTAAACACAGAGCTACAGATCAGATGCACGCTGAAGGCTCTTTGAGCAGCTTTTCTCTCACTGATCGTGATGTTATGTTCAATGTTTGTTGTTGTGATATTTGTTGATGTTACACATGGAGCTGCTGTGATGCAAGTCACATTTCAGACTTGATCTGACCATTGAAGTGTTATCGCATCGTATCATCTTTAATGAGTAAGGAGCTGCCAGTATTATTTAGTTTAAGTATGTTGATGCTTCTCCTACCTGGCTGCTCCATGGTCCAGGCTTCACACTTCATGGGGCTGCTGGGAGCCGACGGCACCCCGACGCCCGCCATGTTGGCAGCCTGAACCTTAAACTCGTAGAAAACTCCTTCAGTCAGACTGTCCACCTGAAGACACACAGACAGAGAGGTGGGAGGGGATTAGTACACCGACTTCTTATCCACCCCAAACACATTATGCATTACATTAATGCATGTGAACAACATCTTGATCTGTTTTGTCTTTCTTAATACTGTGAGCCATGTTCATGCTCAACTCTCTGACCGCATTTTGCACATTTGTGCACTCATGTCTGCACAGCCCTCCACTTTAAAATATAACACACTGTAGTTTGCCATATTGTCATATACTCATTGTCCTAAGTGTTTTAGTTGAGTTTTTTAGCTTTTAAGGTTCTTTGTATAGTTACATTTAAATCTGGTGTAAATACTTTCGTATCCTTTGTTAATGCTGAATTGTTTTTGAAACCTATTTCCTTAGATAGTTTATGTTCGCACCAGCAGACACCAAAGCAAATTCCTTGTATGTGTAAATGTACCTGGGAATAAACTTGATTCTGATTCTTCCTTCTTCTAGATTCAATGTGTGTGTGTGTGTGTGTGTGTGTGTGTGTGTGTGTTCACACTTTGCTGAGAAGTTGTGTCCTGCTTGAGAGCAGAGAGTCTTCTATAGTTTTCATTCCCTACACTGTATATGTTCTACCTTTTAATTCTATTTTGAGATGATTAAATGTGAGTATTGTTCTACTGTTAAAGTGTATCTATACGTGTCATTGTAGCTTTTTGGTGACTCACGGTGCAGATCCTCTCCTTCACAGCCGCCACGTTGACCTCCTTCCACACCAGCGTGTCAGCGTTCCTCTTGTCGATGTAGTAGGCGTTGACCTTGGAGCCTCCGCAGTGTTTGGGGCTCTTCCAGACCAAAGTCATGGAGGAGCCGTCGCAGCTCAGCATGCTGATCCCAGAGGCGGAGCTGGGGGTCGCTGGAGCACAGAATACATCATGTTCAATGAGAGAGAGAGTTAATTAGATCACATCTCATCACATGAGAAAATACACCTGTGGTTCAGTCAGCGCTGCGCTATGTGGACACACCCAGGAGAGGAAGAAATACTCAGATCCTTTTCCCTAAATAAATGCAGAAGTACTATAGTCTTAAAATACTATATATATAAATATGTGTGTGGGTGTAAAGGCGTTGACTAAAAGTACTGAGTATTCAGAATGGCTCGTTTTCACACGTCATTTTTCTGTTTTTATCCTTAACGGTTACATTTAAGAGCATTGGATGCTACTCAATCGGAAGCTGTTGGTACCTGCTCATGTGCATAGTTATTGTAAATTGTAATCCCTGTAATGATTCTGTAAAATGTCCTTTGTTCTGTTTATGTTTTTATGTTTCATGTGGAACCGTCAGGGCCTTCAAGGTGTTCAGAGAATAACCAGGAACACTCAGATAAAACAAACACAACATCGATTTAATTATATAAATAAAATGTAATAAAATGAATAAATGAGAATGGTATCTGTGTCGTTGATCTGTAATATTACAGTGTTACGTTGATTTGTTTGTCCTTCTCGGACCATGCTCTACGCATTTCAGTGGTTTGTGTTAGAAAAGAAAGCAACCAATCAGATCTTGTTCTGGGTCTCTGGGTAGAATATCCTTCACCAAGGTATTCTACATCCTTGATCGAATGCCCTGGCCGTTGCACTGAATGAGAGCGTACCTTTGGACTGACAGTTTGATTAACCAATCATATATTGATTTGTAGCCAATGGGCGTGTTCTTTCAGAGTTCCCCTCGGTTCCAGGGTTCTCTAGAAGGCCCGCTAGTTAACTGGCTCGAGACAGATGATCTAGATGAAGCAATTCATGCCGTTTTATTGTTTTTAACGTTGAAATGAGAAGTGCAACAGGTGGAGATGAAGTTGTTGCGGAATTGTTGTGAGTACCTTTTTCAAGACGACAATTCAGTGAAAAGACGGACATTATAATGCCGCGGAGGGGGGGGGGGGGGGGGGGGGGGGGGGGTGTGTCTACAGAAGGTCCAGTTGTGATAGACACGGTTCGCCACTGGAACCTACTTGAGCAGGTCTCCCTTGAGCAAGAGATCAATGATCTCAATGGGATACACCTGGGTAAATAAAGGTTTGAAATGAAATGAAAAATGTAAAGTTTGTAGTTTGTCAAAGTTGAGCCAAGAGTGTTTTAAAATACTGCTTAGATTAATACAGTAATGCATCATAATATTGAAGCATATGATTGTATGTTGCATGTTGTATTGGTTAGCATTGTATTAGTTACATGAGTAAAGAGGGTTCCTAAAAAATTAAGTGGAGTAGAAGTACATGCTGGATAAAATGTGAAAAGGAAAGTACGTCAAAACAGTACAATAGCTGAGTAAATGTACTGTAACATCGGGAGGGGGGGGGGGGGGACCCATGTAGAAGACGTTTATTAGCACCTAAATAAGTGTTACTTTTATGTGGTTCTTCTGGCACCAAGCAGTGAATTTAGTGATAAATAGTTGTGCAGTTCTGTGATTGAAGCACATGATGCAAAGTGGCAGCAGTGGGTAAGTCAGGTGGGAGAAAATCATCTATTTCATACATACCATAATCCACCCCTTTGCCTGGATAGAATGACGAAATACACTTTAAACACGTCTGTTTCTGACACTTTGGTGAACCTCACATACATTACCGTATATTCGGCTGATGCTTGGACCAATCATCAACAATGATCAGCTTTATTCACGTTTTAAATGACTTTTTAGAGATGGCAAAAGTACACACATCATTTACTCAAGTAGAAGTACAGATACTCGAGTTTAAAAATACTCTGGTGAAAGTAGAAGTACTGACTAAACTTCTTTACTCAAGTCAAAGTAAAGAGGCTTTGAAATGTACTTCAGTAAAAAGTACCCATAACTAGCAGCTGCTTTAAAGAGTACCTGACCTCCCTTTATATTAATAGAACAATAATGTCATTGTTAGCTAATGAATGTTTCCATGCTGAACAACGGCAACATGACAACGTTTCCATTGGTCCCTCTTCTTTAGAGAAGACCAGGAAATGATGGATACACGGATCGTGTTCAAATCAATAGGCACGCAATGACTCTAAAGAATAATGATCACGCATCAAACACACATTCAGACTAAAGGAACCAGCTGTTTGGAAAATGAGAGAAGTAGAAAGTACAAGTATTTGAGTTCAACATGTAAGAAGTAGAAAGTACAGGTATTTGAGTTTAACATGTAAGAAGTAGAAAGTACAGGTATTTGAGTTCAACATGTAAGAAGTAGAAAGTACAGGTATTTGTGTTCAACATGTGAGAAGTAGAAAGTACAGGTATTTGTGTTCAACATGTGAGAAGTAGAAAGTACAGGTATTTGTGTTAACATGTAAGAAGTAGAAAGTACAGGTATTTGTGTTCAACATGTAAGAAGTAGAAAGTACAGGTATTTGTGTTCAACATGTGAGAAGTAGAAAGTACAGGTATTTGTGTTCAACATGTAAGAAGTAGAAAGTACAGGTATTTGTGTTCAACATGTGAGAAGTAGAAAGTACAGGTATTTGTGTTCAACATGTAAGAAGTAGAAAGTACAGGTATTTGAGTTCAACATGTAAGAAGTAGAAAGTACAGGTATTTGAGTTCAACATGTGAGAAGTAGAAAGTACAGGGTATTTGTGTTCAACATGTAAGAAGTAGAAAGTACAGGTATTTGTGTTCAACATGTGAGAAGTAGAAAGTACAGGTATTTGTGTTCAACATGTAAGAAGTCAAAGTAGAAAAATAAGTAGTGGAGTAAAGTACTGATACCAGAAAACTGTGCTTAAGTACAGTAACAAAGTATTCGTACTCCACTACTTCCCACTTCTGCAGATTTTATTATCGATAAATGATAAATGGATTTACCGAGTGCCGGCTCCACAGCGATGGCCGTGGACTCCTGGGATTCTTCACTGAGGCCGAACACGTTCACCGCCTGGACTCTGAAGGTGTAGCTCTCACCAGGGATCAGGGCGTGGACCACAAACCTGACACACACACACACACACACACACACACACACACACACACACACACACACACACACACACACACACACACACACACACACACACACACAACACACACACACACACACACACACACACACACACACACACACACACACACACACCACACACACACACACACACACACACACACACACACACACACACACACACACCACACACACACACACACACACACACACACACACACACACACACACACACACACACACACATTACACACAATTAAAACTGTTGCTCTGATGATCTCTGGTGCATAAAGGCGCTGAAAACGGTACTCTTGTGTCAGCGTGGGATATCTCTTAATGTAGATATTGTACTTTATAGCTTTAAGACTTAAAATAAATGGCATAACTTTACGGATTAGAGACAGAGCCGCAGCCAAGATGCGTCATTTTAGTCGAGTTAACGTTTTTTTTTACGAGAATATCCAAAGGTGATTTTAAAGATATAATTAAGCTTTACAGGTGTGATATACTAAATATATTAGAGCACTTGACTTTTAATATTGACTAAGAAGGAGGTGTTGGCTTGTAACAAAATGTGGAAATGATCATTTATGTAAAAAATGCACCCTTTTAATGAAGACCTTAACTGTGACTTTTGCTTAACCCTCTGAGTTGCAAAGAACAGAAAAGCCCTTACACCTGATTTAATTAACAATAAATCCCTGAAGTATCAAATATAAATTAGAGTTTTTAGACTTAAATTAAAGGGCAACACTTTACTGATTAGAGACAGAGCGGCAGCCAAGATGCACCATATTGTTATAATATTGTTTATAGGTGATCATTGAAACCAATCCATCCATAGAAGTTTATTCCCAGCGATTTACATTTAAAAATTGAAAGAGTTGCGTTGAGTGATTTTAGAGATATGATAGGCCACTTATGTTGCAGTCTGCTCCCTCACTCACCTATTTTCTGCATTAGCATTTCTCACCTTAGTAATAATAATAATAAATTGTATTTTTATAGCGCTTTTCTCAAACCCAAAGCCCTGGCCCTGGCCTGATAGAACCACGATTTTATGGGGCCGGAAAAAGTACCCGCTAGTCGGTGCTACGCTATATGGAAAGGCCACCAAAAACTAGCCTGGCCGATTGCGGACGATTAAGGACGCTTAAACGGGGCTACCCGCTGCAGTGGAAATGCGCCATAAGTCACCTGGTAGTGACACCCTGTTTCTATCTCATACTCTGTTACACCCATTAGCTCCACTATGCCCCTTCACTCTCACCTCAGTGCCAGATCGGACTTCGCAGCATGCAGTTCTTTCCAGCATTACCTCCCAGATTGCTCTCCCGGTTTCGACCTTGCCTGTACCCGGACTATTCTGCCTCGCCTGTTTCCTGACCCTGCCTGACCCTGCCTGTACCGGCGTCTCCCGTCTTGCCTACTCCTGGAACCCTCGCCTGTCCCCGACCAGCCCTTTGCCTAATGTCTGCCGGTTTGTCTTACACCAGAACTTTTCTGTGGAAACTATTTATAATAAAGCTGGTTACCGACTTTCCCTGGTCTCCCGTGTGTTGCATTTTGGTTCTCAGCTCGTTCGAGACAACTTAAGGTTCACAGATACAACATCGGGGAAATAAATCACCAATTGGACTTTTAATATTGACTAAGAAGGAGGCGTTGGCTTGTAACAACATGTGGAAATGATCATTTATGCCAAAAATGCACCCTTTTAATGAAGACCTTAAATATAATGTTACTTTTCCTTAACCCTCTGAGTTGCAAAGAACAGAAAAGCCCATAAACTAGATTTAATTAACAATACATCCCTGAAGTACTAGATTAAAGCAGGGCTATTAATCCCTTGATTCAGAGTCAGCGTACCCATGCGAGATGAACATGGACTTGTAGGAATTTATTTGTTTACTTTATTATTTTCTTTTCGTATATGTGAACATATGTATGTATATATATCATTTAGTTTATCTGTGCGCGTATTGAATGACTGATTTATCTTTTTTTCTTTATCCTGCAACTGGATGACTAACTAATAAATATGAAGGAAATCGTTATGATAGAAACATAGTGGTTAAAAACTCCTGACTTAGTTTCCTGTTTACATCTTAATTTAGACGTCCAAAGATCTCCTAAATCCTCCCTGACTTCTTCAAGTTTCAAGATTCAAGGCTTTATCGTCATGTGCACATTAGCTGCATATGGCAATGAAAAACTGAAGTCAGAGGCTCCTCAAACCGAGCAACATGAATATATAGAACAAATACAACAGATACAATAGTGCAATAGAATGTTTTGAGGTGTCCAATTAAATACAAATAAAATAGAAATAGTGCAAGAATAGTCTATATACAAGTAAACTGAAGGATATATTTATGTCTTAATGTGTGCATATGTATAAATGTTGATTGTGTTCATATAGGTATATACATATTTGGGACAGTACCACTTTACAATAAGACTACCCTTCATTCAGGGCTCATAAAGGGTTGATAATTAGGTTGTAAACACTTTATTAATCAGTAAGAACCATTTATAAACCAGTTCTAACAGTTTTCATACATCAACACAGGCTCACTATTTGGCAAGATGACTAAGCCTTATATTGGCTACTGGCTACTTAGCGAGAATCAACTCAGTGAGCAACAGATACCAAGGATGCTGGCTGATGAAGAAGACGAGGTAAGCTAAGTAGCCAATATAAGACTTAGCAGCACAGATACATGTGGGATCACTATTTGGCAAGCAACCGGTCACAGTTGCCCTGTTTATCTCATGTCTTATAAAAGCTTATTAATGATTTATAAAGTGTTCACAACCTAATTAATAAATTACAAACTATTCTTATTCTTATTGTAAAGTGGTACCCATATGTGTATACATATTTTTATATATATTTGTGTTTTTGTATTCAGGATTGTGGGAAACGATATTTCGATCTCTCTGTCTGTACACAAACTGAAAGATTGACGATAAAGTTGACTTTGTTTATGGGTGTTCTTTAAAATGTTTAGGTGTTCAATATTCTTATGGCCTGACCTGCAGTGTTTGAAGGGCTTGTGGTTGCAGGGGAACCACTCCTTGGATCCCACGATGCGTCCGTCGATGTAATATCCCATCAGGTTCTTCAGGTGTTTGGGAGATTCCCACTGAACGAACACGGAGGACTTGGAGTTCCTGGTGGCCACGACCTGACCGGGGGCCGAGGGCACGCCTGCACCGGGAGAGAAGGAGTTAGTATTTACTTCCAGCGAGTATTTGAATTAGCTGAGGGAGAAACAGCCCAAGAAGACGAAACAATAGATACAAATAGTTTGATGGAGTGCTGCAATATGCATTTATAATGGGTCAACATGTACAATTCCCTACACAATACGTATTAAAACATTTAATTACGTTACACTGTTACTTATCAGACGCTTTTACCCAAAGTGACTTTCATACAAAGAGTCTAATTTCAACATTCAAACATAAGATAGGATAAGATGTACTTTATTCATCACAATTTGGGAATTGTGTTGTTGCCGCAGCATAAAACAAAACAAGGCATTGCACAGAATAACACATTAAAGAGTAGAAACAAACAATTCTAAAAAAGAAACATCTCAAAATAGAAATAAACCAGCATTAGAGAGTAAGACAAATATACAGATGGCCGTGAAGTTAACACATCTATTAACTGTCGGACAAATAAAAACACTATTGAAGGGAAGAAAGACCCCACTATTGAATGTAAGTCAGGGGTCTGCAACCCGCGGCTCTTTAAGCCCTCTGCTCTGGCTCCCTTGAGCTTAGAACAATATTTGTAGGACTATTTATATTGTGTTTCACGGTTGAAAATGTTTCATATCTTGTATTTTGAGGTGATACTGTGACACGTAAAGAAAACACAAAAAAGTTTTAATTAGGTCAACTAAAATATGCGTCACATCCTGCTGCGGTCCCGCGCCAGCGCCTTTTCTTGCAGGTGGATAACCTGACCCCGGCTCGATGAGCGAGCTATGGATACATCAAAGAAAAGTATCGGAGACACACAGAGGGTTTAATTCTGCGTGGACAGAGTTATCTGCTTTCACAGCAAACGATGCTGGCTTACCGGGATGTTTGATATGTGGAGAGAAGTTCTCAAAGGAGCTGCAGCCTTTACGTATCGAGCAACAACACGGGAGGAAGACAGCTGACGATCTGCAGTCATAATTCAATCAGTAAACTCTTTTTAGGGTGCAGCTAGATGTTTTATTTATTTGAAAGTGGGCCCATTTTAATTGTATTCATTTTCTTCAAATGTGCAGAGAACTCCCCAAGTGCTGTGTTTGATTATTTGAAGGTTTCACAAATCTCAAACTGGGTTATAAATAATCTTTAGACTCTGGGATAATCCAGTCCAAATACTTCGGCTATGCAGCGATTTAAGAGGTTCAAACACGGAGGATTGTTCGCTCAGCGCTGTAAATTAAATGTCCCTTAACTTTCCCCTTAACTGCCGAATCGGATGCTCTGAATCGGAAGCCAACTTCAGCGTCGTCTTATAGGAGTTCTTTGTTTATTATTAGCGGTAACAGTTTTCTATAATGTAATAAATAATAAATGCAAAAAAACTGTAGATTTTGTCTATGATGTAACAATATACAACTATAAGCTATCAAGCTATCAAATATGTTTTGCGGCTCCAGACAAAGAACATTGGTGGAAAAGGGGGCAAAATGGCTCTTTTGGTCAAAAAGGTTGCAGACCCCTAAGTGATTAAAATCCAGGAACCTCTATATGCAGCTATGTATCCATAAAATAAGGAAGCTTGATTTACCACATCATGTTGAAAGCTCAGCATTCATCCACAGGAATGTATTACCTGACTTTGTCCAAACACTTCTCCATTCTGGACGCATAGCCTTTATCCATCCATATGACTTTTCACAAAACAGAAATACTTATCCATTGGCCATCAAACTCTATATCGCCTCACCCTTCAGTAAAGAGAACTATACTTATATATAAATAAATACCATTACCATCATTACTAAAACACTCTGCTATATAACCATATTTCCAAACATAAACATGCAATACGCTGGAAGTAAACGCTCGTGATGTGAGCATGCACTGTCCCTGTGGATTTTGTGGATCAACAGAGTGAGGTTTAGTCTGTGAAGCTCAGTTTAACACAGGAATGGAAAGAAAACATCGATGTGAATATAAGGAGATTTTCATTTTGTCACTGTGAGGTTTAGCTGTGCCTCGTCTTAGAATTCAAGCACACACAATTGAACCTTTTAAAGGGGACCTATCATGTAAAATGCACTTTGTGATGTCTTCTCTACATCAACATGTGTCCCCGGTGTGTCGGGGAACTCACGCAGCGTCAGAAAATAAAACCCTCTCTCTTCTCCTCCGTACACAAATCTTTAAAAACGGGGAACAACGGAGCTGATCCAGATTTGCGTCCGATATGACGTAATATCTGAAATGTGGACCCACGGGCCAATCAGAAACGTTGCTATCAGAAACAATGCCCGACTGCTTTGGACGTAATATGGTCGGTGTTTACATTAGCATCGCTAACACTCAGAGCTAACCTGTACTGGAGAGCATGTGTGTGAAGAAGCAGGAAGTAAAAAGGAACTCACCTTGTGGTATAACCGGCAAGAGAGAAAGCCTTTGAGCTCCAAACTGTTTCAGAGAGAATCCTTGATAATCCATGATATGGCGTTTCATCACGGCAGCATTTAGTTTAGACAGTAGCTGCCGGGTCCCGCATGAGCTCAGACCCCTCCTCTTTAAAGCTTTATCCCCAAATCAGCACTTTTGAACAGGAAGTGAAATAGAGGGATATGAGGCATGGCTAGAATGATCTGTTTGGTATTTGGAGCAAAACACTTCATAGACATGTTTTTATATATTTGTATATATCTGAGACCTATGCTATTGCCTACACATAGCATGATAGGTGACCTTTAAATTGGACTTTGGTGCAACAAATATGTATATAAATAAATATATATACAAGAGCATGCTTTCTTATTACATTTAAAGTACTATATATTTGGCATAACAATTTGTATAGGATATTTGTAGGGATACTAGCTGACAGCAATGGACCTTAACTACACAACATGGTCTGGATTCAACAGAGAAATACACTGTGTCTTAGTTTAAATATGCCACATTACAAATAACTGTACACACACATTATATTGACTGTGCGCTCTGCCTTTAACGGAGGGTTAGACATCACACACACAGTGAAGAGGGAACTACTTTGTGAAGTGACGGCAGCATCAAACAGTGAAGTGTTCTCATTAAACTGTACGTACCAACCCGCACCTCAACACCTGGAACAAGAAATCACTTTCAACATAAAAACAATTTGAGGATTTCATTCTTTCCTGTTTGCAGATACTCGCATAATATTTACATTTAATATGTTTGCACAAATACTAAAAACACACTTAAAGGTGGGGTAGGTAAGTTTGAGAAACCGGCTCGAGATACACATTTTGTTATATTCCATTCTTTCACACACACATACGGGTTTTGGGCCGAGGGCGACACCGTACTTCCGGTATCCACCGTTTCACGTGAGGTGCCAGCAGAATATCATAGTCTATTGCCTTAATCAATATCTAGTGAACTCTAAAATACCACATATATGCATTGGCATGATAATATTATTGTGACAAGTGGGGTATTCACCTGGTGTTTCCAGAAGATAGACGTAGATGCTGCCAAAATCGACGAAGGCCACTTTCGAGAGTCGTTTTTCCATACATCTGCATGCAGTCTGTAAGGGCAATCCGACAGCCCACACAGCTCTAGTTTACGCTGGTAACGACCTAGAGCACACCCCTCAAGTCCAGAGATGTAATCCGAAGACATGCAGCGATTTCTTCGGTTGTTAATTCAGAAAAAAAACCTAGTGCGCTCTGCCTGGCTACGTTAGCTAGCTGTTTATATTAGCACCTCCAGGATATTTGCACCTCCAGGAAAATGGCGTATTTCTATATAGATATATGGCGCGCGTTGCATTGTGGGTAGCTCGTGACGTCACTGTGTGTGAAAGAATGGAATGCTCTTAACATCCCGATAGCAATGAATATCTGAAGTGCTTTGACAAAAAATCCATTAAAAAATGCATCTGTGGAAGCCGTGGTGCCGGCTAAACGGATTGGATTGCCGCCCTGTCTGTCAGCCTTCCATCTCGTGCACGCACAAATGTATCTCGTGCCCTCATTGGGCGTGCATTGCGCGTTCATGTGTGTTGGAGGCGGTGCTCTAAAAGGAAGTCTGAAGGAAGGGGCGGATTCTTTTCGGCTGTGTACTTTCATATGTTAGTGCACTCGAGCCGGTTTCTGAAACTTACCTACCCCACCTTTAAGGAAGCATTCGCATCTTGGAGAGTACGAGTGTAAATGATCGCTGAGACAGGAAGAAGCATTATATTATATATGATCATATAAGCACTATTATACAATTAGGGAGTGTACCGTTCATTCTGTTGAGTATTTATACACCGTTGGACTTTCTTTCTGGCAGCCTAAATAAATAATAATGTAGTAGCTAAAACATGACCAATGTGAACCGTAATCAATGTGTAGTTTTTACAACTCTTTTAATAAAAGTTATTTATTTGCTCCACATCTGTATTCCTCTTACTGTGTTTATGCATCACTAAAGCAAATCCTTGTATACCTGCAACTACCTGATGTTAACCCTGAGTATGTTTGATGATCGCGTATCTTACTTTGCCTAATGACCGATTCCAAATGTAATCGCATTTTTATCATTTGCAATATTTGACTTGCATTCATTTGTTCTCAATTTTCCTCTTCCTGTGTTTATGTATGCACCATTACACACTTGTTTTGAGTGTTTTTTGTGTGTGTATTGCATGTATATATATATATATATATTACATTACATTACTTGTTAGACGCTTTTATCCAAAGCGACTTACATACTCAATACTGTGGGCAATCCCCACAGGAGCAATTTGGGGTGAAGTGTCTCAGGGACACAACGACATGCTGACTGCAGTGGGGTTTGAACCTGTGCTCCCCTGATCCGAACACCATCCACTGCGCCACACGCCTCCTAAATGTATATATAACAGTCTGAATGTATTTGTGTTGCTCCCAGCCCTTAACATCCTGCATTAAAGCCAAACCTTGTATTTTAATTCTGATTCTGATTGATATGTCTTTGTATTGTACTTCATATATACATATATATATATATATATATATATATATATATATATATATATATATGACAGTGTGTCTGGATGTGGTTGCATTTTTATTATATTTCATTATTCTAAACTGTCCTTCAACTCTTTTAATAAAAGTGATATCTTTGCTCCTAACACTAGGATGGGTCAAATGCAGAGAAACCATTGTGTTACATAGTAGCTGTACTGTGTAATGACAATAACAGTAATACAACAAATACATCTGTATTCCTCGTACTGTGTTTATGTATGCACCATCCTGCATTAAAGCCAATCCTTGTATTGTAATTCTGATTGTGATGATATACGAGTGTATTGTACTTTGCATGTATGACAGTGTGTCTGGATGTAGTTGCGTTGCTCCGGCCCTTATACTGTCCTGCATTAGAGTTGGATATTTATTTGTATTGTACTTGGCAGTATATCTATATATATATATATATATGTATAAATATATAACGTTATAGCGTTGATGTTTAAAGCCCCAACAGACTGGAATACTTGACCTGCTACTATCCCCTGCATCATTGGGTTTGTTCAAGCATCATCATCTCACGTCCAGCTGCTCTTGTTATTGATGAAACGGATCCATCAGTAACTACTGTCTCAAATTGTAATGAGTGTATGTATTACTTCGTGAACTTGACTTCACAGACTGTACGTGGTTTGTCCTTGTTTGTCATGCTTTGCTTTCTGTTATTTTGTTCATGTACGTCTGTCGTAAGACGTTTGCTTTTGTCGGGACCCCCCTTGAAAACGAGACGGTGCATCTCAAGGGGTTTATCCTAATAAATACGTTTCTATATGTAACAGTATGTAATGTATTTGCGTTGCTCCGGCTCCTTACCGTCCTCATCCTGCCTCTGGACGGGCTCGGAGGAAAACGACGCCTCGCTGCAGCCGTACAGGTTCACTGAAAACACTCTGAACTGGTACTTTTGTCCGTCTTGCAAATCAAAAACCGGGTAACGGGGAGAGTGCAGTTTGACCGCCGTGTTGATCCGCTGCCATGCTCCAGTGCCCGCTATGCACTGAGGAAGAGGAGGAGGAGGAAGAGGAGGAAGATGATGAAGAGGAGGAGGGTGATGATGATGATGATGAGGGGGGTTTATGAGTAAGAACAGCCATCTGCGACAAACCTCATCAATGTAACACAGACACAGAGGAGCTTCAGGGGTCGTTGCAAAGTTTGGGGCTCAGTTTAGTTTTTATTTGGCCATATTTAGAAACATTTTTAGCATTTATATGAAAATCTGAAATATCGATTGGTGTCTGATCACTGTTAGGATACAAGAATCAGCTATTGTTGGGCAAACGTTGGGACAAAAAGACTCCCTATGTTTGACTGCAGTATCTTATTTAGATGTGTGCTCAACAAGTCTTAAAATCGTATTTTCGGACTCTGGTCTTTCTAAAAAAAGCTGAATATTTTGTACTTTATATTAATATTAACCCATTAGGACCCACCGTGACCCAGGTGTCACATGAACCATAAATGTTCTGGAAAGTTCCTTAAACAGCTTTAGCCTTTATTTTATCTCATGAAGTCCCTAAGTGACACACACTGAACAGTCAGGGGGGTCCTGGTCCAGGTCATGTGACTTTGTGTTGCCATAACAACATGTCCAGGATGTCCATGTGCCACGCTAACACATGTGACATAACGAGCTACATTTCAAAAAGCTTATATATATATACTGCCAACATATATGTGATATTTCAGATATTTGACACTAGGGGGGGGTTACTTGTCAGAAATGTGTTCTAGGTGGTCTATTTAGTCTAAATTATGTTCCCCTTAATTTCCCAAAAGTAGAAATGGGTCCGGGTTCTTATGGGTTCTTAAACTGGCTATAGGATCATTTGCACATTTTGTTAGCATTAAATGACATTAACAACATATCCGTTGTGTTTTTTTCAAAACATTGTTTTTCTCATGAAAGTTTACAAAAGTATTTATGTAGATATATTTATATATATACATTTCTGTGTGATTGTACCATATTAATCCTGTCTCTATATATAACATGTGCTACATTTCTACCATGTAAATTATTTGATTATTTAGGCCGTATTGGGATTTTGAATTGACTGGAAAAAGCCCCAACAATGCAAGCGACCAACGTTCAGCTCTCAGTGCTCATGTGCTTAGAATATAACATATATGATAATAAAAAAACACACATGTGACCTCTTAAACTCTAGGGAACTCATAGCTCTTAAAATAATATTTAAACCTACAGAATACTTTTCAAATGAAGTTTAATTTAAAAGGACGAATTATGGGGAACATGATGCATAAGACATCTTTAATATCGCCAAACTTAACACAAAAAGTAAGGATGTTTGCGTTTGTTCGATTATTTCTTTGTTGTAACAATGCTTCTTGGCAAAACATCTTATACCGTTGGAAAGCCTGTTTTCTTACCTTTCCAATGGGGCTACATTTATGAGGAACAAGCATTTGTGGGAGGAGCAGCAGAGCTGAGTATGAGGGTTGTGCCCATGAAAGATTTGACAAATCTCCTCTATAACAAAGAAATAATCTACCAAACACAGATATCCTTCATTTGTTTATAATAGTTTTCAGCTCAAATGAGAATTGTATAGTGCTAGGATGAAAGGAAGTGCATGTGATGCTGTCATGCAGGTAAGATAAAACATACTTTTAAATAAACTAAATGTAATTTAAATACACCATTGAACAAAATGTGTTAAATGTTATTGAGAGAAATTGAAATTGAAAGGGTTTGGGACAGATACGTCCAAATAGAAAGTACCCTATAAATGATGTTTTAGTATTAAGCGTATCACTATCTAATTGAATGCCTTGTGTTTAAATAGACCATAACATATTCTTAGTAAATATATATGTCTGAATACTTGTTTTGTTAAATAGTTGTTCTTGTGGGGACAGTGACTAAGAGTTTAAGAGGTCCATGTCTCTTTATCTCTTCTCTACGGTACAGATATGCCAGTGGGCTACATCGATGGAAGCTGATGGCTGAAGGTATCGACACACACCTTTTCGATGACGTAGCTCAGCGGCACTCGTCCGCGGGGGCGAGGCGGCGTCCAGCTCAGCACGATGTACGATTTGAAAACCTCGGACGCGTGGACTTCGGTAGGCTGACCTGGGATCGTTACGTAGCCTAAAGGTCGGGAGTGAACGGGTTGAGCCCGAAATACAAACAGCGGCGGCGGAGGCAGAAATCCCACATTGGTTTTGATGTTGTATCTGAACAATGTGTTTTTATAATGTTTTTGTCATTTTAAATGAATTAAGAATTTACGCCCAGACTTATTGTTATTTTCATCCAATAACGTCATCAACAAATCCATTGCCAAAGGAGAAGTGTTTATTTATAGCAAATAAATCTTCTTTTTAGTCTTTGTAAAACTTTGAAAATACTACATCAGTGGTTGGTTGATTCCCTTCTAAGGGACACCACGGGTCAACAATGACCCGTATTGACCTACAATGTGATTTCATGCATGGCTGAGTGTTTCTGAGCTATATTTTTGGAAATCCATTAATTTAATCATTTAATATTCAAAGTATTCATTAAATATCTTGTTTTTGATCACCGGACGTCATTCTTTTCAATCAGCCTTTCAAAATGTAGGAACTAAAACAGTTGTTGTATTAATACGTCAGGTTTGCATACATGGGTCAACAATGATGTTGAGTAGTGATACAAAAATGATTTTCATTCAAAAAGTAAGAAAGGAAAAATGAAAGTAAGAATTTGTGATGATCAAAAACAAGTTCATCGAGGAATACCTGGAATTCTGAATTATTAAAGTATTTTGTTGCAAAGATATTTACAATTGAAACTCACTCGGGTCACTTTTGAGCCATGTTGTGTATCAAAGGGTTAAATATATCCAAGCCAACATACTCAACTAGTCTTAGCCAGAAATCATATTCCTCTGGTCTTTCTAAAAAGCTGAATATTTTGTCTAAGCTCATATTGTACTGGCTGGGATCATTTCAACAAACATAAAATCCTTATTTTTGTTATCATTAAATAACTACATTGCCACAGGAGAGGTCTTGATCTTTTAGGGAACAAAATCCTATTTTTTTATATTTTACTAATAATGAGAGAATGACAAAATCCTACATGTTGTGTTTTTTTTAACAATGTTTTTCAAAAATACGTTTCGTTTAAAAAAACGACATCAATGGTTGGTTGCAGTATTTTTTAAACTGATATATTCTAGTCTGTAGTTCAGAGTGGTGCAGGTTGAGCAACATATATGTATTTATTTATATATTATATATATTTTAATGCACTTTATATACTATTTTTATATCAATATTTTTAACTATTTATTCCCCCGTATAGATTGTATGTTGTCTGTCCTATTGCCGTGTTTTTTAGTGTTATGTATTTGTTTGTATTTCTTGCACACCGGGACAGAGTTGCACTCTGAATCTCGTTATACTCTGTGTATAATGACAATAAAAGGCTTTAACTTAACTTTATGTAACTGCTTTGAGCATTATACAAGCGCTATACAAATCCCATGTATTATTAAAATGATTTAGCTCAGGATTTGGATAAATAACAACAGGATCATATTTCAGATTTAAAAGCAATTTGAGAAATTACATTAATGTTTTGGGGAAAAGTACGCACAGAGAGAGTTTTGGATCTCCCTTTATTCTCTAAACGACTAACTTGATAGTTGAATTAAAATGTGGGACTTCTGCAACAGCCTCGTTTAAAATCACATCAACACAAAGGATTTTAGTTTGTGTTAAAGGTTTGTTTTAAAGAGGAGAGACTCGGCACACTTCAAGTGGTTTAATTGATAAAAAAACACTAAAACCACTTCAGTCGATTATTGTATTAAAGAAAGACGGGAGTTAAATGAAGACGGCACCGGAACAGTTAGGAAGGAGGGGGCGGGTAATAGTTTGTGTCGGGAAAATATCCACAAGTAGAAAGGAAGAAAAATTAGTTTTGAAGTGACAGCGGGAAAAAAGAGATCAGTGTTTGTGTGAATTTTTGTTTTGTAATAGACTCATGTTTAGATGTTAACCTGTGAGAGAAGAGGTGGTGTTTGGTGCTATCACTGACATCCAATACAGAGGTCATTCATTAGTTTGACCTTATATTAAACCTGTATGGAAAGATGTGATGCTTATATACTTCCTTCCTGAAGAAATATATGTAATTTCAAAATGTTGATGTGGATTCTGGCTGGTTGAGAAGGTTTTATATAATGCCATGTTTCTTCTGACAAAGTGCACCCTGAGACTCAATCTGGACAATTAAAATCTCAAATCCTGACGTAATATTTAAAAAACAACTTTAAGAAGAAACTGTGAGAAAATAAAACCAACTTTGTCCTCAAAATGTGGACTTTCCTCTGGAGACTGTGATGGTCTTTCTTTGTTACATTTGGAAAAATCACATCAAAAAATTGAAAAACTGATGTAAAAATACATCAGAAAACTTTGTCTTATGTGGTTTTTCAATTTGTAGTCATATACATAGAGAGGACATACCTCCATTGAGCAGAAGAAGGTGATTGGTCTTTATAAGATATAATAAAACAACCCCTCGGGATGCGCTATGAAGATGTCGGTGGATAAGAGTGAGGAATTCACAACTCCACTTTTTAAATGTTGAATGTAAAGTTATTATGTTGTTGAAGAGGTTTGGAACGAGGGACACACATTAGTATTTCTTTCAGAATCTAAGAAGTAATGAATATCTGATCCCAGATCACGCTGTACCTTCCAGATCATCGTCATGGATCAGAATGTCGTATCTCCCTTCGATTTTAATCACTGTTTCAGGAAACGACAACAGCAGATCTGTTAGAAGACATCGCTTCCTCTCTGCATCTGGATGTTTTATTTACCTTCATCGGTACCTTGCAGCCTCTCGCTCTCGGCGGCATCGAGGGCGGTCACTTTGTCCGACTTTCTGGACGGCCTGCTGATCCCAGAGCTGTTCACGGCTCGGACCCTGAAGTGGTACGAGTTCCCCACCGTCAGGCCGTGGACCGGGTATTTACAGATCTTCACCGGGGCGTCGTTGCACTGGACCCAGGCGTCGCTGCCAGACTCACGCCTGAACACAGAGGAGATGAATTTAATGATAACTGGACTACGAAAAGTATTCAATCTAGTATCAGTATTTAGAGTCAGGGTATGGTTAAACTGTAAGATGAAAGAGGGTAAAAGGATGTGTAGACTTGCCGAGTTGTTGATAATACCTCACTTTACACTGATTCATTTGATCTAAAAATATCGATGCAGCTTTATATAAAGAGACTTTTAATAATATAAAGTGCAGAGTAATTTGATTTTATAATGTGTTTTATAAAAAAAAACAGCCTTCAGACGGACCTGTCCACACATTTCCTAAATTGGGATCAATAAAGTATCTATCTATCATTCAGTCAAATTGATTTAAAAAAAGGATTAAATGGTCTTTAAAGGTCAATGGCCATTTCTACTGATCATAATTCCACTGTTGAGGTCGACTAGAATAGATTCACATTGTTCAATGTTCCAAACTCACATTGGTTTCTCACAGCATCTCTGTATAGTCTGTGTATTCCCTCTCTGTCCTACACGGCTTGTTGGAGCTCCACACACACACACACACACACACACACACACACACACACACACACACACACACACACACACACACACACACACACACACACACACACACACACACACACACACACACACACACACACACCACACACACACACAACCACACACACACACACACACACACCACACACACACACCACACACACACACACACACACACACACCACACACACACACACACACACACACACACACACCACACCACACACACACACACACACACACACACACACACACACACACACACACACACACACACACACACACACACACACACACACACACACACACACACACACACACACACACACACACACACACACACACACACACACACACACAGGCTGTTAGCCACACAGTTCGCCACACACTCAGCCTGAGAAAACATAAGGCTGAGTGAGTGTGTGCGTGAGTGTGTGCGTGTGTGTGTGTGTGGGTGTGGGTGTGTGTGTGTGAGGAGCTCCACGGATTGGTCCATTCGGACAAATTGGTCCATTTGGTCGTCGTTACGTCACTTAGACCAGGAAGAAAACAATGGGAAAAGAGAAATCTCCAACGAGGCGTTCTGGGGCAGCACAGACAGGTCTTCTCTGTGTTAGAGTTTTACTCGCTAAAGGCTGTACTTTGAGGGTTTGTGACTCTGCAGACCGTTCACATGCAGAAAACCCTTCATAACACACAAGGGGACGGGTAGTAACCGGAAAGCATGACATGGGCCCTTTAAATCAGCAGATTGGTGATAATCCTTCAAATGATATTGAGTCATTTGGTCTAAAAATATGAATGAGTTCAGCTCTAAATAAATACTGTGACTTCATACTTTTAATAATTTAAATTGCAGCGTAATCTGACTGTACTCGTGTTCATGTGCTTAGAGTTTTCGGGGACGCACCTGTCCACGAAGTATCCGCTGATGGCCGCCTCGTTGACGGTGTTCGGGGGTTTCCAGGCCACCAGCAAGTAGTCAGAGTTGATGTCGTACGCCTTCACACTCATCGGGGCACCAGGGGCGCCAGAGACAGGGGCCGCCGCATCTGGGGAGCAAGGAGGTAAGGATATAAGGTAGATATAATGGTGCTTCCCATGTCGCGAGTGTGATGATACTAATACCTCTAGAATCTGTGGAATCTCAGCTTGCTAGCTAATATCTTGTTTGTGCAGATCCAATAAGTAATAAAGTATTTATACCTAGAGTTCTGTGCTAAGTGCGGTAGCATTTTTTCGCTCAGGGCTAATTTACTACTTTGTTTCGGTAAAAATGATTCCTATCGTCAGTTAGCTGAGTTTCTTCCCGTTAAGTGATAAAGTAAACTGATATTGTTCTAAACTGTATTAAAGTAAACACGTATTATTTTAATCTGTATTGAAGTGAACATGTATTATTTGGGACTGTTTTCAAGTAATCCTATATACTGTATATAACCTTCTCACTTACACTCACTGACCCAGATACCAGCACACACACATATTCTTTTCAAGGTTCTTTCTGGGGCCAATATAATCTCAGGCACCAATATATCTGTGTACAATGTTTGATTGTCTGGGAAAGAATAGTTTGTGTGAAATATTCCTTGGGAAAGTAAAGGAGTGAACTCAGGTGCAAGATAAAGATTGACTCTGTCCTTGTTTACTTCCGAAGCTGTCACGCTCTGTTCAGAAGTAAAATACTTTTTCCCAGAACTCTGATTCGCTGTATTGGGCCCGAGCCGAAGTAAATCCAACCAGTAAGAACACCTAGGGGAGTGAGCAACCAACACAACTCCTCCCCACGGACTCTCTGATTCGCTTAGGAGTGAAATCGACCAATTTGGGGGGGCGGAGCAACCGGCACAACTCTGCCCCCAAATATATCTATGTTTCTGACTGGCTGGTCCCGATATCTGTATCGCACAGCAGTAGAACTGGGAGTCCAGAGTACTCTGTAACTTGTATTGGTGTTTTTTACCATTCAAATCAGATTATTGTTATAACTTTTATTCCGGTGTTTTGAACTAATTATCTTATTAACCTGACCAGGCTCATCTAACGGACGGCGCGGAGCGGAGGTGGGCTTTAAGCCACCACCACTGTGTTTGCTCCTACAGTGAGTATGACACATTCATAGTTTATTAAGAAGCCCTGAGACACAGTTTCGGGGAAAAACAGATTAAAAAAAATATCTTAAAAGACTTTATATCGATATTGTGTTCTTTGCATGTTTGCCTAACTCATCATTTTCCCTAGACAGCAGCTGATTTGAAGTTGCTACGACACCGTTCTTTGCTTTAAATATCTATTTTTGCAATAAAGCAATCAAGCTAATTTCCCAGAAAATGTGACCCAACGTTTGATTAGATTTATAGATATTAAAAGCTCCATGATGCAGAGATGCTTCCCACCTGAGACGAACAGGTAGGCGCTGTGCTCCGTGGTGCCGTCCTTGGTGAAGATGCGCAGCGTGTAGAGACCCTCGTCGTCTTTGGCCAGCTGAGGCAGCGTCAGGCGGGCGGATCCCCCCCCCACAGACATCTCCGCCAGAGCGCTGGGCTTCAGAAGCTTATCTGTAGAGACACAGTGAGCAACAGAAGAACATAAGATACGATAACAAGTACTTTATTGATCCCAATTTGGGACATTTTTGCATTGCAGCAGCATAAAAACACATTGAACAAACGATGGGAACATTTACAGCACTCTGACATTAAGGGACACTGTAGATAATAGATACCATAATAAGGTAAAAGAGGCCAACACACATACAATACAATTAAATAAGTAAACACATTGTACTAATGCCAAGGTAAATGTGATACCAGGTCAGTGATTGAGATATTTTCTTAAAAGAAGGTCCATCAATAACTATTGTTTATTTCCAGTCTTTAAACTTCTCTATTGTACAATGCCTTGTCTTTTTACGCTGCTGCAACACAAAAAATCCCAAATTGGGATCGAGGGCACTATTATTTTTGTAATCTTTCAAATTGTATCAGTGTCCTTTGCTGTGAAGCGCTTCCAGATTTGTCTTGGCAGATGAGAAGCGCTATATAAATTAAATGTATTATTATTATTATTATTTTGTCTTATTCAAAATGCACAACTACACTGGGTAGGTGGATAAACTGTAGAATTAAAAAAGTTTCAAAACTAAAACAATACATGTCAACGTATTTGCACTCAAAAAATATGGTTTCTAAAAAAGGACGATGTATTGCACGTGATGGACCCTCCAATATCTACTTCCTTAAAGGCAATAGGAGAACAACTGCATGTAAGCAAGGATTTTGGATGATAAGGGAGGACTTAGCCAAATGTCTGGTAAATACTGCTTAACTTAATGAATGAATTAAGGGCTGTCTTACCGTCTCGGTACCACTGGGCAAGGGGGGGCAAGTTGGGCAGGTCTGGGACCACCACCATGGAGCAGACCAGGCTGATGCAGCTGCCCTCCGTCCCAAAGCTGACGGAGAAACGGTCCAAAAGACTGACCTCCAGCTTGCTGGCATGGATCTCAGTCAGGTGGGGCACTGAGCAGGGAGTTCATCATTTTAACACATATTCACTGAAACAGAGGCTATTTGTTTCGTGTGAACCATTTGTCTATTGCACGATTTGATGTCTTTTATGTTATGTATATTGTATTGGGGAAGGGAAACATGTAATTAATCATTTTGATACATATTCACAGAAACAGAGTCTATTTGATAAATATTAACCATTTGTTTATTGCGCTATTTTATGCCTCTTTCTTGTATGTTAAGTATATTGTATTTACATTTGGGAGAACCTATTTTAAAGGTGGATATAATGTAAGATATGTAGGATTGACATTGATATTGCAGTGTAAAATATGGACGTATACGTTGTTGTCTCTGGAAGTTCTGTGTTCTGATCTGATAAGAACATTCTTAAAACCAGAAAGGTAGAGATCCCATAATCAGTGGATTTAAAGATATCCTAATTATACAAAGAAATATAAAATAAGGATTTAACCTGATCCGAACCTGGGGGGACAGAGCCTTCTCCATCGCTGCCCCCACCCTCTGGAACTCCCTTCCACAACACATCAGAGACTGCACCGACCCCCCCACTTTCAAAACACTGACCAACACACACTTCTTCAGACTGGCTTTTCATTTGTGGATTATGCTGTGTTGCTGTTTTAATATTTATTTATTTTTTATTTCTATTCTTTATTCTATTTTATCATGTTTTATCAAACCACTGCAAAGCGTCTTTGAGCACCTGGAAAAGCGCTTTGAAATAAAATGTATTATTATTCATATTTAATATTTTTAGATGAGAAAAAAATACCACTTAATGTCAGTTTAGGGGATAATTTGCCCTTTCTAAGACACCTGGATGTATATTTATATTCTTTCGGTTTAGGAACCACTTTCTTAACTTAACTCCAACATTGTTTTAATGTTAGTGTAATTAAATCACTGATTTGTGAAAAGTGTCAAAGCTAGGATTACATTTTTTCTTTCTTTCACTGATTGGCTAAAGGAGAGCAGAATAATACTGCTCTTCCAATTTTGACAACATCTGAGTCAATAATGAATCTGATTTAAGTGTCTCAACATTTTAAAATCATTAACCTGACCACAGGGCAGCAGAGATACTTGTGATACATTTGGTCAACTGGAGGAAAGGATTTTCTCAATCTGAAAATGGTTCATTTCCTTAAACACATTAAGCAGAAGTGTGTAACTAGATCCTTCAGAGTGTCCTTGTTTGTTTGTGTCTGTGTCTGGACGAGGACAAAAGCTTCTCCTCTTCATCCCTCATCATCACATGCTCTGCTCTTCGTTGTCAAATGATCCCATGAGTTTGAACTGGTGGTCTCTGAGTCCAATAAAACTTTTTAAAAAAGACCCTCCTTCAGCATATCTTTCAGCTACTTCCCGTTCTCTCTTCTCACCTAAATTGAGCTGGCAGGACTCCCCGGTCCCTGCTGCTCCTGTGAAGAAAAACACAATGATGATTACAGAGAGACTATTATAATATCTGAGTGATACAGATAAACCAGTTTAAGGTCTTACTCTTCACGGTGACGGTAGCCTTGCTGGTGGCGGTGCCGTGAGGGTTTGATGCCACAGCGCTGTACTCAGCCGTATCGCTCACTGCACACCTGCAGGGGCAAAGAGCATGGGGAAATGACCTTACACTACAACATCTTGAAATCTTGCCAAGTATATGTGTCTAAGATCTAGTCAGAATATGTCTGTCTCTACGCCTGCTATAAGACATGATAACTTCAGGAGTAACACTGCAGTCAGATGTCGAGTCTTGTTTTTAGACAATGCATCATCTTGTCAAGTCAAACAATCTTATTTTGAGTCGTATCTCAGATGAAACACATATTTTTTCAGAACACAGAAACACTTTGAGCATTTGCTGCTTATATTGTAACGCAACATCTCCTGATTCTGGTCAAATATAGTTCAAAATGAGTTCTCCAGCTGATTACAAGATCTGATTTATCTAAATATCCCGTCTTATTTCAAAAACTCTTACCAAGCACACTTTCCCTTGGCAGATTTTTGTACTTATTTCAAGTGAAAACGGGTTGTTTTCATTCTTGTTTAACTTGTTTTTGGAGCAGCAATTTGTCCAGTGTGTGTACATAAAACAAATATATAAATGTATGTATGTAACAATGTACATCCATAACTTTCCGTTTTTTGTCAAATATATTGGCTTTATCATTTAGGAATGATGCTTCCTTAAAATAAATGCCGCCTTGGTTAATTTAATATAAAAATGTTTACACTAAAGAGTTGGATCGAGCCAATACAGAACATGTGATAAGGATAGATAAACACTACTTAAGGGGTTTGAGTTTGGTGTTGTTATTTAGCTGTTCTGTTCTCCCTGTGTTTTCCTCCTTGTTTCTTGTCTGGTCCTTCTCCCTGTGTTTTCCTCCTTGTTTCTTGTCTGGTCCTTCTCCCTGTGTTTTCCTCCTTGTTTCTTGTCTGGTCCTGCTCCCTGTGTTTTCCTCCTTGTTTCTTGTCTGGTCCTTCTCCCTGTGTTTTCCTCCTTGTTTCTTGTCTGGTCCTTCTCCCTGTGTTTTCCTCCTTGTTTCTTGTCTGGTCCTTCTCCCTGTGTTTTCCTCCTTGTTTCTTGTCTGGTCCTTCTCCCTGTGTTTTCCTCCTTGTTTCTTGTCTGGTCCTTCTCCCTGTGTTTTCCTCCTGTTTCTTGTCTGGTCCTTCTCCCTGTGTTTTCCTCCTTGTTTCTTGTCTGGTCCTTCTCCCTGTGTTTTCCTCCTTGTTTCTTGTCTGGTCCTTCTCCCTGTGTTTTCCTCCTTGTTTCTTGTCTGGTCCTTCTCCCTGTGTTTTCCTCCCTGTCGTTAGTTTCCCTGGTGTGTCTGATTGTCTGATTGTGTTCACCTGTTGCCCTTGTGTTTCTCCTCCCCTGCCCGGCTGTTTCTTGTCCCGTGATTACCCCTCTCTGTATTTAGTCGTGTCTCTTCCTGTGTTCCCCTGTCGGTTCGTTGTTCGTTTCCCTTCACGTCACGCTTCATGTTTGTCTCTCCGGTCTTCCTCCATGTTTCTCACGGTCAGTTTTTGTGTTGTTGTTTTCTGTGCTACCGTTTCGAGTTATGCCATGTTTTGTTTATCAGCTTTTAAATAAAGCTCGCTTTTGTTTCAAGACCTTTTTCCGTTTTTGTAGTCTGCATTTGGGTCCTACCTTTCCCGAATCGTAACACAGGGTTTTCAAAGACTAAAGATTGAAGTGCAGATTTTCTGATCATACATCAGAAGCCACATTAGCTCATGGTGTGCTCGTAATCATTTCACAATATTCCAAAAAGTGTTAAAAAAAAACATTTGACTGCTGAAAATAGATGTCGGTTGTGTTAATAGGAAAACACCAATATAATTAATGAATTCTTTGAATAAAAAATGTAATCAGGCGAATACTTAACATTTGTCTTTGATAATAATTGTTAGTAAACTTAAATACTTAATGACTTGTAATGTTCGCTCTTTACTGAACTGGAGCACTGTCTTTAACTGTATTGTTTTTGATTGATGTTCAATCGTAGTTTCTACCATTGTCTTTATGTGTCCATGATAATGATTGAATGAAATCAAGAGTACATATGTACCCAAAAAACAACCCAACACATGTGATCGACGAGGTGAACCGAAGGAGGAGAAAGCTGTATTCGAATATTGGAGGTTGGAGTTTTTAAAAGTAGAAATATTCCTTTCTATCCTCAATGGACATTTTGAACTAACAATTGGTGGCATATCCATATTTATCTTAATAAGACAACAAGGATTTGAGTAATAGAGGGAACAAGGAGCGGATAAATTAGCCCACTTTTGAGTCTTGGCACCATAAGAGTCAAACATAAGTACATAAGCTCTGTCTTTCTTCAGCAACACCACAGCGGCTCTTTAAAGGCAGCTGTTAAACTCCTTGAGTCAAATGTTTGATTACGGCATAAGACATCATGCTCTGCCTCTTAGAAAATGATCTCACATGTTGGGAGCGTTTAAAGGAAGGTGTTCTGAGGCAGGAGGGTGAGAATAGAAGGAAGAAATGTGACCTTCAGCCTGGACTGAACTATTTTAAAAGACGATCCATTCGACCAGCTGTGGGGGAAATACACTCAGTCTGGTCTTCTTCTCATAGAGGTATTTTCAATGGTTCGCTAAACGAGAATTAATATACTTTTTCTACAAAGTAAGGCACCTAAATGGCAGTCTCCTGTGTGACCCTGTAATGCAAACGACGAGGGAGCGGAGATATTCCAATGCCACAGATATAGAGGGGAGGAATTCATGGCTCAAATAACGCAAATGTCAGCACTTCCACGCGAACAGCTGAGGAGTCTTGAAGATGACTAACAGGCAACAGGCCGGTCGTTCCTCTCAGTTCAACAGATCTTTCTATATCTCTCTAGCCACGGACATTTGAAGTTTGACACCAAAAGTGTAGAAAGAACTAAAATATTAAACATTAAAGAGTCATAGATTATTTGGCTTGGCATTAGTTGTCTTGCAGCCCCGTCCTGCTCCTTTTATTTTCTGCTTGTTCCAAGTTTTTCATGTTCTTCAAACTTCAATTTCATAAATACATCGATGCACTTAAATGGCATTATTCAACAGGCCTCTCTACTTCTCTCTAGCCACAGACATTTTAAGTTTTGTCCCCAAAAGTGTAGAAAAAACGCGGAAATATTTAACATTAAACAGTCATAGCTTATTTGGCTTGGCATTAGTTGTCTTGCAGCCCCCTCTGCTCCTTTTCTTTCCCTCTTGTTCCAAGTTTTTCATGTTCTTCAAACTTTAATTTCCTAAATACATCGATGCACTTGTCTCTCCAAATGGCATTAAAAGTACAAGCAGTTTATATTGAAATGTACAATGGTTTCTTCCTTTGTGTTGATGTTATGACTATAAGACACCATCTAATTTCTTGCAGCTTGGGTAGCTGTGAAGATTTGAATAATGTTTTTTCACAGTAAAACCGGCAAAAGTGCAGCTTGACTTTTTATTGAAATTGCACTTATTGGTAGATTTGCACTATGCTTCATTCCCCAAATCTTCTTACATACTCTATATAATAATAATGCATTACATTTTTATCAGCGCGCTTTTCCATGTGCTCAAAGTGCTTTACAATTACACATGACACATATTAGACATGTAACAGTTATTGCTGTGGACCAGGGGTGCCCAATACGTCGATCGCAAAGGTAGTGTGGATAGATCACCCATTACCTGATCAAGTTAGATCCCGCCTATCACAGTGCTCTGAGATTTGTTATTAACTGTAAAGCACTTACTCATCACTGTGCCCTGTATGCCAGGGCAGGTTTGCCTTCACTAACTGTACGGAGGCTCAGTCATTGGTACATGTTTATCTACAAAGCCATGTTGGGTAAACTACCAACTTATATCTGCTCTCTGATCTCAGAGAGTTGCAGGTAGCTATTGCCTGAGATCCCAGGATGTGTTTTTATTACATGTGCTAGGACTGTTTTAGGTACAAAAGCTTTTATGTGCACTGCCCTCCCTTGGAACACTATGCAATTCATTTTTTTAAACTGAGCATTTTGGTTCCCCGGCATCATTTTAAAGCTCGGATAGATGAAATGTTATTCGATACCGGTCATTGTGAATAGGTTGTAATTTGTACCCCTGTAATTATGTTGTATGACGTCCTTTTTGTTTACTGTTGTTTTTATGTGTAACCGATGTGCGGCAGGTCTCCCTTGAAAAAGATATCGTTGATCTCAATGGGATTTTACCTGGTTAAATAAAGGCTACAAACAAACAAGATCGCATGGCTTTGAAAGACAAAAATAAGTTTAGCCTTAGCCATCCTTACTATGGCATTTGCCACTTGATTGACGTACAAGTAAGACAGTCTGAGATCTCAGCCGTTTCTCGATGTCGAGTAAACCTGCTGGAGAGCCACTATTTCAAGTATCCTACGTCATCGAGTGGCGCCGAAGAACTGTTTAAATGCATGTTAAATGCCCAGCATTCGGCGCACTCGATGACGTAGGATACTTGAAATAGTGGCTCTGGCAGCATGTGTACTCGACATTGAGATACGGCCCTCATCTATTCTAACACGCATGCTGCGTCAAACCGCAAATCACCGGTGAGTTGATTAGTTGGCCTTCCAATATACAATTCTACTAAAGAAAGGGTATAAAATTGACTATAATGACCAAAAAATGTACAGAGTTGTATTGTGCCATACGGGTTCATGCAGTTATGCAAGGTACACCAACATAAGGTATACTCAGTATATATATATACATATGTTTAGCATTTTTAATGTAGGTAGATCATTTTGACTTGGTCATTTTAAAAGTAGCTCCCAGCTGAAAAAGGTGTGGGGCACCCCATGCTGAGGACAATACCCACATGTCTTGTTAAAGTTTTGTATTTTATTTAACACTCTTTAATTCTTCTTCCCTGTGGATTTTAAAAATAATGTCATTATGTAAAGCAACTTGAAAAGCCTCAGCATTGAATTTTAAATAATAAATTCAATGCAGAAATAATTCTTAACATATTGTTTGAGGAAGGAAACCAAACCAAATCATAAAATGTTATACAACATCGCTTTGCAAGACTGGTTACTATACAGACCCTCTCATTTGGAGAATGCTGACATTATCATCAGTACTATTATGTTCTTGGAAACTCTAAATAAAAAAAACTGCTGTGTTTGTTCAGAACATTCAGTTTTGTCTCTGAAGAGTTGCTCCTTACCTGCTAATGATCAAACTGTGGACTCCATACTTGTTTTCAATCTTGTACTTTCCTGGGGCGCTCAGTGGGTCGACGGGCGCTCCTCCTTTATACCTGCAAACAGAAAGTGTTTTTACACATCCACACACTGTCACGGTAAACTGGTCAAATCAGTCTGGGAGAGAAATAACTTCACGATGGTCCACCTGACAATAAAGAGAGATATGTTGTGTTTTTAAATATAGCAGCAGGTATTTACAACGTGATGACAACTGGGAAGGTATGCTGCACATTATTGGTTGGTATAAAAAGGATTAAAGGAATGCTAACAATGCTAACAAACGCTAACAAACCTTTTTTGGGGGAGGATAAAAGCATTAATACTGTATGTCATCCGAGCCTCACATAAAACATCTTAACTAGAGCCTACATATTAAGATATACATGTATACAACAACGTGGCATAGATTTAAGATGGCATCAAAACCATCACGAGTAAAACATGCTAATTTTGTTAGCTTAAGTAGCTTGGTTTGTATGTGTAAATTGGTCTTTGGTAGTAACATTTTAAAGATTTAAAGAAATGTCATGAACTAAAGTTACCTTACTGATTAAACTTGGATGTTCTAAGTTAATAGCTGTTGGGAAAATACTGAATGTAGCCTACTCTTCCAATATGAGAGTAACATGCTAACAAAGGTATCCCAACTGTAGCTGTGAACATGACAGGATGTGTGATTACCTGGAAGAGCATCAGGACTGTTTGAGGCATATGATAGCTATGTGATTAACATGATGATTCAGCCTCTATGGAGAGAGACATATGACAAGCATGCTCATTTCTGACGTGGAGCTAATCTGAACTAAACATTGAATACTGCTTTCTATTCCTCCATCTTGGGACTGTGAGAGAATTTTGAAATGTTGAGAGAAAGTCAGAATTTTGAGAACATTTAGAGATTTTGAGAAAAAGTCAGAATTTGGAGAAAAAACTCAGTATTTTGTACATGATTACCTCGAAGACCCGCTCCATCTTGTGACTGTGTAACTCCTTCTCTTGTGTATCAGCATGTGAAGGACACTGTTCAGGAACTAGTTGATGCTCTGTATGTGTATGTATATGAGAGGATCAGAAATACATGGATCCTGAGATTGAAGCTCAAGCCGGTGACCAGTGATATTTTTCTAACACTAGTACATGCAACCCAGTCTCACGCCATTTCATGTTATAGTCACGAAATTAATTTAATCTATTGATTCCTGTTCACGATTTTCGCATTTTTTCGTGTCACACAGAACGATTTTAAAAGCAATGTATTTCTATTGGTATGTTTCGTGCCTGCACCACGTCTTTTTGTCCGGTCGGGTCTTGGAAGACCGGAAGCTGTGTGGTTCATAAAAACATTGTCTTACTCAATATCTTACCCCAAGCCTAACCCTTTTATTTTAAATTGTGTTTTTTTGCCGTCTGCGGGGAAAGAAATGGCTCAGAGCCTCAGAATACTGACATCTGTATTTTTTGTTTTTCTCCTTCTAATTTGTTATTATTTGGTGCAGGCACGAAACATACTACCAATAGAAATACATTGCTTCTAAAATTGTTCTGTGTCAGAATACTGAAATCTGTATTTTTTAAAATCTGTTTTTCCTTCTAATTTGTTATTATTTACATTGCTTTTAAAATCCTTCTGTGTGACACGAAAAAAAAAGTGCGAAATCGTGTTGGTAAACACGAATAAATAGATTCAATTAATTTCGTGACTATAACACGAAATGGGAGGCGTGTGGCGCAGTGGATAGAGCCTTGGTGTTAGGATCAGGGGGTCACAGGTGCAAACCCCACTGCAGTCAGCATGTCGTTGTGTCCCTGAGACACTTGACCCCAAATTGCTCCTGTGGGGATTACCCACAGTATTGAGTATGTAAGTCGCTTTGGATAAAAGCGTTTAACAAGTAACATGTAATGAAATGCCGTGAGACTGTGTTGGTACATGCTTTAAATGTGTCGTCTCTGAACTGAGTTGAACGCGCTCCAGTGAAATGTGATTTTTCTGACCATTTGACGACGGGCCTGGGGTTTCCCTCCACGGTACAGAACAGTTTGACGGGGGTCTTCTCCCACACGGTGTGAGGTCGAAGAGCCACCAGGAAGTCCGGCATCTTCGGGGTTTCTGATGGAATCACCTTCTTGTACATCATTTCCTTAACCTGGAGAGAGAGTGAAGTGGGTCAATTGAACGTCTGTAGCACAGAGAAAGAAAGACTTCATCTTAAAGCTCTTATTTGCCAACATCAAAATGTACCAGATGACATTATCAACAAATCTAACACAATCAAAATAGTTCTTCCATCACAGCAGCTCAATTTGCAACATCATAAAATACCTATATTTAAGGCAAGAAACAGGAAAACACACATTTGACCATTATAATTGCATAAGACCTTTAAAGTGCATTATATATCTGTCAAACAAAATTGAATTGTGGGACCCTGTATCTCTTATTTAATGATGAAACATGTATATTTTCATTTCAGGACACGACTGGGCTCAGAGATGATGTCGTTGGCCAGCCTCATTGGTTCCATATAAATAGCAGACACACTGATCAAACCCCTCCAGACGCCTCACCTCTCTCTGCAGGTTCAGACTCTCCACCTGGGCCTTGGTGGCCATCCTCATCCTGTGGAGCTCCTCCTGGATCACCGTCAGTCCTTTCCCAACATTCGTGCTCACTCTCTGGTACTCCTCCGTTCCATCTTCTGCACTCCTGCACACACAACTCACATTAATACAGTTTTACACAGGAAACCAACTCCAAATATATAATTAAACATGCCTCCACTCGACAACAGAATGATATGTGGGTGTAATCGAAGAGAAGCCAGCTATTCAGAAGGCAATTTAAGTTTTAAAATGATAAAATTATTTGTTGTTTAAAATAGTTCAAGAACAAGTAACAAAACTTCCCTCACAGCTTTTTATCCCAGCCTGATATGAAACATCCTAACTAAACAGGAAATATGAAGCACACACATCTAAAAACAAGAGGAAAACACAAGAAGATGTACTATAACAGGGGTTCCCAAACTTTGCCATGCCAAGGACCCCCCATATAGCATTAACCTCTGGTGGGGACCCCCATATAGTAATTAACCTCTGGTGAGGGACCCCCATATGCATTAACCTCTGGCGGGGACACCCCATATAGCATTAACCTCTGGCGGGGACCCCCATATAGCATTAACCCTCTGGCGGGGACCCCCCATTAACCTCTGGCGGGGACCCCCATATCGCATTAACCTCTGGCGGGGACCCCCATATAGCATTAACCCTGGCGGGGACCCCCATATAGCATTAACCTCTGGTGGGGACCCCCATATAGCATTAACCTCTGGCGGGGACCCCCCCCTGTTGCATTTTTTTTTTTAAAATGGAGTACATTATGATGGAAAATATGACATCATACAGCTTAATACATTTTCTTAATATATATTTGTATAATAATTAATAATCAGTTATTCTTCTAAACATTTTTTGTATTTATATTTTGTTTGTCATTCATTGTGTCTCTGTTATAACATTCTTAACACAATATTAAACAGTAATATCAACAGTAAACATATTTTAAAGCATTTTTAAAGTGATTTCTGTCTTTATAATATTATATAATTTTGAACATTAATATGAACAATTAACATTTTTAGCATTTTTGAAAGCTACTTATGCCTTAATAATATTATATATAATATTCAACAGTAATATTAACAATACACATATTTATATTCATATATATAAAGATCAATATTTGCTACATCCGTGCTCTCATCCAGCTGCAGAGCGAAATATTCACTCGCTCTCACTTGCTCCAAAAGCTGAGCAGATACTCAGTTCCACTCTCAGTAGCGGCAGCTCGATTCTGATTGGCTTGAAGGGCGGTCGTGTGATTTAAAAACAATAAAATAAAATATTCATAAATAAAAAATATTAAAAGATTGGCATCAAAGGACACATAGATTGATAGATATGCAGTAATTGATAACATCTACAAAATAAAAATAAATGTAACTTTAAAAAAAGAAAAATTCCCCTTTCCCTCAAACTTTGCGTGACCCCCCTGGCGGCCCCCACTTTGAAAAACACTGTACTATAAAACATGTGGTGATTGTATGTCATACGCTATATGTTCGATTGCACTTGGTTGTTGTAGTTAAATCAACCATTACATGTGTTTTTGCACATTGAAACTCTAAACAGAGGGTTTTGTTTATACACTATTAATCTGTGAACCAACTCCTAACACATTTTGTATCTATTATATTTAACATGAATCATTTCAGTGGCACTTGGTGTCAAACACCAGTACATTTAGACGTTTGTTTCTTCCTGTACATACTTTTTGTTCAATAAGTTCTGGAAAATTTAACATTTGCATTTTATTTGCAATATTTTACCCTAGATAAGGATGTTCCATTAGCTCATCCGAGTTAATTTAACACATGTTATAGACTAACAAGCTCTACAACCCCATAATCACCACTTACACACATAATTACATTTAAATACTATCAGATACAGTAGTAACACTGCAGTAAAGTGCCGTCCTGACTCGGTGCAGCTAGAAGAGGCTTCAGTATTACCTTACACCTAAAATAGCCTGACATTCAGAGGTGGGAAGTAGTGGAGTACAAATACTTCGTTACTGTACTTAAGTGCATTTTTCTGTTATCAGTACTTTACTCCAATACTTATTTTTCTGACGACTTTTTACTTTGACTTCTTACATGTTGAACCCAAATACCTGTACTT